AAGAATCTAATAAAAAAAAATTAAAAATACTCTAAAGCAAATGAGAGGAAGCTTCAAGTCACTCTAGTGACAGTGAAGAAAATAGCTGGGGAAAAACTGGGAAAATGAAAGGTTAGATGCTACCTCCAAAACATTTGAGAAAGATGCCTCTGTGTGAACTAGAAGAATAATGAAGTCAATAGATATACAGATGATAGAATGGACAAGGACTGAACACAATCCCTGCCACAAAAATACAATCAGTAAATATTTATTAAATAAAAACTTACCCCTAAACATATGACTGTTGGCATAAGGTACATGGTTCTAGTAGATAAAATAGGACAACTAATTACTAAGTAAAAATTAAAATAAAAATGAATATTTTAATATTAAATAATTCCAAAATTTCTTTTTGTCAGAGATTTGGCATAAATTCTCCAAAGAACTGCTAATTGCACCTTATATAACGTCAAAATACATAGTCTAGAAAATAGTTTCTAAAACCTGATTCACCTGTTTTTTTTCCTTACTTGCCAAATCATTCCTACTTTATGACAATAATCAGAGCAATGAAGTAGTTTAATTAGATAAATATGTTGCAAACCATATTTCAAGTATATTAAAAATTTCCTGTATTGTAGAACACATACAAATAACTTATTTTACCATATTTAAAATCATTGTAAATTAGGAAGTTTTCTAACTACCCATATAAATTAATAATGCATATAAATGATATTCATCAGCCTTTTGCTAAGTGCTTTTCTCACTACATAAAGCTTTCATTTAGTATGGAGAAAACATTGTGAGAATTTTCCTGTTTTTCACTCAGTTTGGAGATGAGAAGAGTGAACTTAGAGTACTCTCTAAGTTCAGGTAATCATTGAGTCTGGAGTTAGGTTCATATTTCTGACTCTAAACATGTGGGGGGTTTTGTTTTGTTTTGTTGTACTTCTAACAGCTACTCTAAAATATAAACTATTTTTTAGAAGAGCTAGAAATTAGAAATTTCATATCATTCATGTTTTTTTAAATTTTATGTCAGTATTTTATTCATCATTTCTAAGAACTCTTGACTCCTCTGATACCATCCTCCTTAGATGAACAGACTACATCAAAACACATGGCAGTCAGAGCTTTCAGATAGGCCAAAAATAGACAGTGAATTTATAGAAATAGAAGTCCTGAGTCATGGGTTGCATAGAAACAAGGCTATTTAGCAATATTTTTAAAAACATGATTATCTTCCAGACAGGAAGGGTTCTCAAATGAAGCCATAACAATTATAGGCTTTAGCTGAATCATTGTTGATCCTCTACTCTATATGTAATCATTCTGATCTTAATATTTCAAGGAGAAAAGAATATACTTGTTGCTTAGTAACATTTGCATACTCTTTAGCCTTGGTATGATATTTCAACTGTAGTACACAAAAGATTCCAGGAGATTTTGATTTTTCTCTTAACATTTTTAACAAAATTCTGAGTACACATTTATTTTATTATCTAAATATGATGAAGAACATATTGGTGATGCCACACAGTTGTCTATTATTTTCATGGAAAAATACTAGAGAACCACTGCCATCACCTTGATGTTGAACTGTTTTTCCAGTCATTGTTTTCTGTTTATTCCTGAAGAGAATGTGCATATTGTACAATAGATATAGAAGAAAGGAAGGAGGAACTCTTCTTGAAAATAATATATACAGAGTGCACCAAAAAATGTATACATATTTCAGGAAAGAAAAATAGTATGACTTTTTTTCAACAGATGGTGTTACCTTCTTATGGGGGACCCTAGAGGATATTGTATACCACTGCACTGCCAGCCTTTAGAGAAAAAATTGAAAATGCATGTGCAGCAATATCAATGCCCAAGGTTATCCAAGCAGCAGTTCACTCAACTAACAAATGTCTGGAAGCTCATGGCCACCAACTTGAGCATCTCTTCTAATTGTAGAGGCTAAAGGTAATTTGTATTAATCTCATGATGTCTCAATAAATTTAGTATCAAAATATTTATACAAGTTTTTCTTTTCCAGAAGTGTGCATTTGTTTTGTATAATATATATATCATATATGTATACTATATGATATATATATATGTTCATTCAATGAATAAAACCAAACATGATTTTTTAAATTAGAGTTAATCAATATTTTATAACAGCTATGCAATTGTCAGGATCTCAGCAAAACTAAAGACATCACATTTGAGCCAACTCTTCTTGCTTGTAGTAAGAAAACTGTATCTTTAAAAAAATATAATTTTCTGGAAGTGAGCATTCTAAAATAATTAGTTAACAGCAGGATCTTTTTACATTAATAAAAACATGATGAAAATTCCTTTAGAAGCCAACGTCTTAGGGGTGCTTCCTGGAGTGTTTGTATGTGTCGTTGTTAATTAAAAAGAAAGGAGTGGAAATAAATACAGATAAATAATATACAATCATTTAAAGCTTATTGTAAATTTTCAAAAATGAGCATAAACTTATTTAAGTTTACACTAGGGCTGATAGAACTATACATTTTTTAAAATTCTGTACCATAGCTGATACAGCTCCATAGTTTTCCAGAGGATAGCATGAGGTTAGAATGAGAACCTTTTAAAACTACACTAATATCTTAAGAAAAAAAAATCAAACTTTAATGTATTTTGTAAGCTTTATTATTTTAATTTCAACTAATAATTCAGCATATAATAATGTTAGCAATATAAGGTAATTGTCAACTTAGTGATTATCACTGTATGGTTTTATTATAGCTAGGGTACACTTTAGAAGGCTGCAATATTTTCTTTTTTCTTTTAATGAAATACAAATAGATATTAATAAAGAAAATATGAAAACACTTCTATAAAAAAATAAAATTCTAAAGGAAACCTCTGTTCTTGGAAACAGAAAGTTGCTTCATGTCAAATTTCTCCAAGTGCTAGAGTCACCGTTGTGTACAAGAGAGAAAAACAAGACATGAAAGCAGAGGAAGAAAAGTCAGTGGCAAAGAGAAGTAAAAGTAAGCAAAAATGACACCATAGAGAGCAACTGAACTAAAAAGAGAAAAGAAAGAACAAAAGACAGAAGAGAAAAATAACTAAAAGAGGCATAAAGAAGAAAACTGATATCACAATAAAAAAGAGAAGTTTGTTTTGGAATTGGTTTTACCAAGATGAGCTTTGAAAGAAGATATTTGAGTAGAATATGAAAGTGAAATTCAACCTTGAAAGAGTTGTGAAATAGAAATAAACACTTCTGGTGTCAAATCATTGTGTTAAGTATATTTTGGTGTTATTTTAGAAATTCAAATTCGAAAGTCCTTTGCTACTATCATAATTTAAATGTATTGCATATTCAATCCATGAAAAGTTTTTGATACAAAAATGTTCATTTAGCAATTTTGACAGCTAATTTCTTTGAAAAATCTCAAAAAGTTTTAAAACAGCTTCTAATAATTCTAAGTACTTAATTAGAAAATGTAATGCATTATATTTAATACAGTCAAATCATTTTTGATCATATTTATTTAGTTATTCAATACATTTCACTAAAGAATAATTATTTTCCAACTAAAGGTAAAATATTCATTTAATTTTTAACCTGACCATAAGAGATATCCACTTTGAAAATAATTAATTTTTTAAATGATATGGCGTTAACTAAATCAAATCTACGTCATTCTTTTTTTTTTTTTTCCGAGGCAGGGTCTCTGTAGTTCAGTCTGGCCTTGAACTCACTATGTAGCCCAGGCTGGCCTCGAACTCGCAGTGATCCTCCTGCCTCAGCTTCCCCAGTGCTGGGATTACAGATGTGTGCCACCACACCCGGCAAAACTACCTCATTCTTTAAAAATTTGATGTCTTTCAGAATTTTTTTGAAAAGCAGATTTAGTTGTATAAGAATTTTTACAAAGAAAATTGCATAATTTGGCAAATTGCTATTTTAAATCACATAAGATACAGTCTTATGATGTTGATTTATTCTTCTGTCTCCAACTAAACTATAATCTTCTGGAAAGACATAATTGGATCATATTTGTAATAGAATACCCAACAAGCAATGCATATTCCAGCACTTAACAGGCACTTGATACATGCTTGAAAAAAGAATTTATTTTATGGTACCAGGGATTGAACTCGGGACCTCACGCTTTGGTGGCAGGTGCTGGAACCACTGAGCTAAATCCCTGGCAAAAAGAATTTATTTTATAGCTTGAGCCGATTATTTTTAAAAGAAAAAAATTACTACTTTTACTGCATATTTGAACTGCAATTACATTTATATGAACACTGAAGGGAAATAACCCATAACAATTTGCCCAAACTATAAGCCTGTAAAAAAATACTGAATTCTCCATAACTGGTGTACTTTGGCCCAATGAAATAAGCAGGAAAAACAGAAGAGAGGAATAACAGAAGGGTAAGGAATTCTGTATGCCAGAAACTTCACACAATCACACCTGCTATGTAAAAGTTCTCCAAGGCTGTCCCCCTGGAAATCACTGGAATTCATCAGGGTGTCCCATTCTCAGACCTGTGCCTTACAGAGTATCAGATGGGTAAATATGCAGTTAATAAGAACTGATTGTTTCTTTAGCACTTATACCCTGCTTCGTTTCAACAGAAAGAAATATATGCATCAGAAACATTCTTAAATGTAAGTATTCTGAAAATATGAGCCTTGTAGGATCTGCAAGTATTACTAATCAATTTTCAATAAATATGTCGCTTTTTTCATTCCAAACTTAAAACTTCTTGAGGAAAAAAAGATGTTCATTTGGGTATATTTTTCTTATAATAAGAATACAATATTTGCAATGCAAAACTTTACATTTTCAAATACTAAAATATTTTTTCTCTACAAGCTTTTATTCACTTGTAGGACTATCTCTTGAGCTATATGCTCTTATTTATTTGGCACAAATAATTGCATTGCTACACCCACATGTTTATGAATAGAAAAGGGGTTATGTGTACTCTGTATTTGAATATGTAAAGTGCAGGTTGCCAGGAGGAAGACTTACCTTGAAAAATGTCATGGTGGCGCCATCTTCTACAGCTCCGTACTCTATCTTGGTTTGTTTAGCTAAATCATCAGCAGAATCAATAGGGGATTCCATGCGTTCCACTGTCAGAAAGGCGGCTAAGTTAGCAGTATATGAAGAAATGATGATAAGTGTGAAAAACCACCAAATGCCTCCCACTATCCTGGTGGAGAGCGCTTTGGGCATGAGCTCAGAACCTAACAGAGATCGGGGGAGAAGTGAAACGAACACAAAGAATTTGATCAGCAATCATATACTTTTGGTGACAGTTGGCAGAATGGAATCACTGTGTAATAAAACCTTAAGTCACAGATTTTCACATTGTTTTGATAAGCAAGCAACAACCATTGGAAGAACAGAGACTGATTTCAGGTAATTGACAAGCTCTTACAAACCTTGTGTTTAAGTACAGCGACAGGAGACTAGTTCTAGCCCACATAGTGAGATGTAACAGTTAAGTTGGGAATGATTAACAACTGTTTATAAAAGTAGCATTGGAAGAGAGAGAAAAAACCTCCCCAGTTTACATATCACTTGTATACTTATTTCTATCCTTGTCATTTATGTGGGTGTCCAAGGAAATGATTTAACATATGTTCAGATCCATTTCTTAACAAGCTTTATATAAAGTGTCATTGTTCATGTTCATTTAAATCAAACATTTTGTCTATTTCATTTTAAAAACTAATGTTGTATAATAATAGGAAAATTTCAGTTATACATATTCCCACGTGTTTATTTTAGAATATGATAGTAAATGATTCCTTTGTGTGTACACAAATAGCTCCTATCACTATGGTTAGCTGCAATGAAGTTAAGAAAAGAGAAGCTAGTTAAATTGTCACAAATTTATTTTTATACAAATATAAATATTTCATAAATACATCACAATACATGGCTGGAGTTGCCTGCCCATGGTATTAATAAAAGAACAGGATCTGAAAATAGATATTATTTTTTATTATTTAAACTTTTAATTCACTTAGATTATAAAATAAAAATTTAACAATTCAAAATTTTGGTCTGTTAATAACATTTACAGTTTTACCACACAACTGACAGTCTTAGTGTTGAAATGAAAATATATCAAAATATGAGGCCTTTTATTAAAATATTCACTAAATTTGTAGATGTAGATATAAAATATATTAGTGTTCACTTTTAATCATTTTGAATCTATAGTCAAAAAAAGCATAGGCAATAAAAGTGCTTAACTTTTAAGAAAGTTTGAGTAAAATGGAAAAAAAGCAAAGATGGACTCCCTGCTGATTTGTTTTACAGTCATGTCTGATATAATCACTGATGCTGTGATGTAATCTCTTTAGATAAAATGAAAAATAAAACAAATTATTTATGTTAATACTGACAGATAAATGATATCATGACTGTTATGTATCAAAATAGCCCATCTTGCACTGCAGCTCATCTTACCCTTCCAATTTCAAACAGACAAAATTTTAAAAGCAGACAGACTTGGACATGACAGCCAACTCCAGCTCCAGACTCTGCCTACCATTCTGTAAAGAAAAGAAAAAAAAAAAAAAGACCAGAAAAGTACCTTTCTGACGTAGTTGCTCCTAGGCCCTGTCAGACACACATTCGGACATTGAAACTCTAAAACACTCCCAAGATGATGAGCAGCATTGGCTGCTGTTTTATTGTTTTCTTTTTCTTTTCTTTTTTTTTTTTAAACAACAACACCAATAAAATCAAACAAGACCAGGAAAGGAAAGAATCATGGAGACAGTTGACAATAATGGCCCAATTACCACAAGTTCGTTTCTTACCCAAAGACTCAAAGCCAATACCTCTTAGGCTTGTGAATCAGAGCCTGGTTAGGGGCTGACTGTCATGTACTCAAGGTAACGTCATGTCCAGCACTATATCCCACTAATTCCTGGGGAACTGGGCATCAGCCACAAGAGTATGGGTTCCTCTTTCATGTATCCACCAGCAGTGAAGTAGTTATGTGGCAAAGCAAATGTATATTTGAATTTTTCATTGCTTGGATTACTCATCATCTTCATAGATATCCAAAATAGTCTTATTTCTAATTTCTATTACAGAGGTACAGTTCTTCTTAAAAATATACAAATTCTCAAAGATCTCTAACTATTTCAGGAACTACAAATTTTCAAAAGAAATATTTCATTATTAAAAGTGGTATGAAAATGTAAAAAGAAATACTTCATCATGGTTGCATTTAGCATGAGGATAACTTACTCCAGATTCTGGACTCTTAAGGCTATGTTTTAATAAGTGACTAGCAGTTTTCCTGGGTGAATTTTATTACGAATGCTGCTTGTAACACATATCTATCACATATGACAGCCTTTCATCTAATATTCTTATTTTGAAAGAACTTTAGTATTGTCTTCCAAGTGTAAAAGAAGAGTGGGGGGAAGGGGTGGAATCCTTACCTTGGACCCACATGTAGGAAAGAGAAAATAGAGCTCCTAACACTTCATTTTGTAGTTAT